GGGCTGGGAACCTAGCGCAGCCAGCGGTCGGGGCGCCGCAGCCACCACGAGAGGCCGCGCGCCGGCCGGAAGCGAGGGGCTCTCGCCCCACGAGCTCGCCCACGCCCCCCTCCCGCCGGGCGCGAGGGCCGGAGAGGCTGGGTTGAGGGCGAGGATTGCGGAGCGGCGGGGAGCCCGGGCCGGGATCAAACCCGGCGCAGAGTCTCAGGCCTGGCCGCTTTGGTCAGCCGTCGGTCGGCCGGGGCAGCGCAGGCTGCAGTGCGCACGCGGGCGGACTCCGCTTTGCACTCCCCAGCCAGCCTGTCAGTGCGAGGACTGACCCTCTGCCCGTGGCTCATGAGGGCGCTGGGGTCAGAGGCGGGGCAGCACTCTGCGGAGCTGTGCTCTCCCTCCGCGCTCAGGACGATGGACATCCCAGGAAAGAGGCGGGAGCCCTGTCTTGTAAGCCCAGCCCGGTGTCTTGCAACCTGAAGGTGGCAAGTCACTCCCTGGCTCTGGGGTCGACCCCGGAAGGAGAGAGGAGAGAGACGGTTGGACTGCAGTTCTTGCCGGCCTTTGCCTCCTTAATTGTCAATGTCTGTATCCATAAAATGGGCCTGTAGTAAAACTTTCTGCCTCATCCTGTTAAGAGGATGAAATAGATTAAAGCACAGGAAACCCGAATTTGGTGCATATCCCAGGCCCTACGGGTGGTTTTCGTTGTAATGAGGGTGGAGGAGAGCCCCAAGAATTTCCCCTTTTCCTTCAGTGGACTGTGGACACAGAGGGACTCCTGTGTCGCCACCCTGGGAGGGGCTTGGCCTCCTCAATCCAAAACCCCTGGTCTAGGTGGGAGGCAGGAGAATGGGGAGAGGGAGGCTGAGGCACAGGCCACTGCCTTCCTGGTTAGGAATCCTAGAGGCAGGGAGAGGCTGTATCCATTCTACAGAGAGGGTACTGAGGCTCAGAAAAGGAGAGCGTCTGCCCAAGTGCATCTGGGTGGGGAATAAGTGGACTTGGGTGGGTTTAGGCTGCAGGTTCCTAGACCTCCTTCCCCGCAGACCTGAAGCGTCTCAGGAAGGGCAGGGCTCAGGCCTATGCTGGGGTCCCTTGTGCTTGGAGAGGTGGAGGACAGGGGAGCCTGGGGCCAGGACACAGTGTGGCTACCTTATCTCTGTAGCATCCTGCTATATTTGTGGTTTCTGCCAGTTTCTGATAGGCTCTTTTCTGCCCAGTAGTGCAGTTGAGGTGCTGGGCTAACTAGGTAGCAGCTAGGACCTCAGTTTGCTCATCTGTAAAGTGGGGATACCCACTAGAGTCTGGACCAGTCAGAGTGCCTTGGGAGGGCTCCATGCTTCTTCCCTGGCCTCTTCTCTGCCAGCTGGGGAGGTTGAGGCAGAGCAGGTGCAACCCAGGCTGGGGCCTAAAAGCTGCCCTCCCACCCCAATTCCCTCCCCTCAGCCACCCGAGAGTCGGCCTTCGTGCATGCCATCGCCTCAGCCGGTGTGGCCTTCGCTGTCACGCGCTCCTGCGCCGAGGGCACTTCCACCATCTGCGGCTGCGACTCCCATCATAAGGGGCCTCCCGGTGAAGGCTGGAAGTGGGGCGGCTGCAGCGAGGATGCCGACTTCGGGGTGCTCGTGTCCCGGGAGTTTGCTGATGCACGTGAGAATAGGCCAGATGCACGCTCGGCCATGAACAAGCACAACAATGAGGCCGGACGCACGGTGAGCTGCGGCTGCCCTAGTCCCGTGCCCCAACCTTGATGGGAGCCCTCCCTGGACCCCTTCCCTAACCCTGGCCCTGCCTTTTCTGGGCTGGCCTCACCTCCCACCCCCTCTCTTCTAGCAGCCCTGTGTGTCCTGGGCTCCCCTCCCCCATAGTCACTCCTTCTGTCTACCCTCCTTCCTTCTTAGGCTGTTCCTGGTCTCATCTGGGGATAAGTGTCCTTGAGAATGTGACTACCCCCTGGGAGCAGGCATCTGCTCCCTATCCTGTGCATTTGGCTGGTCATGTAGGGCTGTGAAGTCCCCAGGGTTTGGTTTTGAATTCAGCTTCCACCCCTTCCTTTGGGTAAACGACCTAGGATGAGCCTCCTAGCCTCAGTTTCCCCATCTGTTAACTAGGGATAGCCTATTTCCAGTCCTTTGAGAAATGGATACGATGTCTGCCGGTGCTTCAGGTGTGAAGGGGAGGGAAGTGGTTCTTCTGGTGCAGAGGCTGGGGGAAGGGGCAGGTGGGGGCAAAGGAGGAAGGTGAGTCTGGGGACCAGCTGCCACTCCTCTTCCCCAGACCATCCTGGACCACATGCACCTCAAGTGCAAATGCCATGGGCTGTCGGGCAGCTGTGAAGTGAAGACCTGCTGGTGGGCCCAGCCTGACTTCCGTGCCATCGGTGACTTCCTCAAGGACAAGTATGACAGTGCCTCGGAGATGGTGGTGGAGAAGCACCGTGAATCCCGAGGCTGGGTGGAGACCCTCCGGGCCAAGTATGCGCTCTTTAAGCCACCCACTGAGAGGGACCTGGTCTACTATGAGAATTCCCCCAACTTTTGTGAGCCCAACCCTGAGACGGGCTCCTTTGGCACAAGGGACCGGACTTGCAATGTCACCTCCCATGGCATTGATGGCTGTGATCTGCTGTGCTGTGGTCGCGGCCACAACACGAGGACGGAGAAGCGGAAGGAGAAATGCCACTGCATCTTCCACTGGTGTTGCTACGTCAGCTGCCAGGAGTGCATTCGCATCTACGATGTGCACACCTGCAAGTAGGGAGCCAGGTAGGGTGCGGGCTGGGAGCGGGGACCCTGGGTGCAGGGCCCTGGGTTCATCTCCTTTTCTTGAGGACCCCATTCTATTTCTGAGCCATCCGAGACACACGTTTCCACAGGCAAAGTAGGAAGCCAGGATTTCCCAAGCTTCAGTGGGAGTGCCTTGGAAAGTGACTTGGTGGATTACATGAGGCAGAGGTGATAGCCAAGTGTGTGCACAGAAATCGCAAGCAATTGATTAAAATTCTTAGACAAGTTAGTTAATTATGAGCCAGATCAAATTATGGCATGACCACTAGTTATCATCCTTGAGCATCTATGGAGCCAAAAGAGGGACACTGAAAATGGGAGCCCTGATGTCTGGTCCCAACTAGGTCCCTAACTTTCTGTTCTTTCACTTCTCTGGGACTCAGTTTTCTTACTGTAAAATGATGGGGTTAAAATGCCTGAAATAGTAAGCTCAAAGTCTCTTTAACTCCTGGGGCAGAGTCATCTCGCATATACCTTGACCTCAGAGGGCAAGTTTTTGCACAAGCATGAATCCTGCCAACCTCAGGGGGTGGGTGGGGGAAGTGGTGCATCAGCCCATATCCTGGCAGATCTGAAGCTGGGGTGGAGCGGGGAGCACTCTCACAGCGTTTATGGATGATGATGGGGAGGAGGAGGGGTTCAAGTTCAGAGTGTCTGTGATGAGTAATCGAGGGATCAAAGGCTGGTGGATTATGTTCCCAAGCTTCCCAGAGGTGGCCTGCGTGGGAAGCACTGTGCATGGTCTTTGGATGTGCAGGACCCCAGGATAGGTCAGTGCTGACATGGAGTAGTCCTGCAGCCTTGGGTTTCTGTGGCTGCTGTCCCTTTTCTCTTTTTCACTCTGCTGAGAAGGAGCCTTGTGCATCAAGGCATCAGCATGGGTTTGGGAATGAGGCCCAGCTGTGGTCCATCTTCTACCACTTGCCATGTGACCCAGCCAAGATATTCCTCACAGACCCATTTCCTTATCTGTTATCCTCTCCAGAGGGACTGTGAGGAACAAATGAGAGAACCTTGGGGACAGGGCTTGGTTCATTGAGAAGCACTTGCCTGCTGGGTCCTTGCTGGCTGGGGCAGTGTTAGGGGAGAGCAGCCAGTAACAGGGTAAGCACCTACTCCCTTCAGTGATGCCTTTCAACATGGGACATCATGGAGCTGGTGGTGCACGTCTGTGTTGTAGAGGGTGGGGACAGGGCAGGTCCGTCTGAGACAGGGGAGGTACATTGTGGGAATAGCTCTCATTGAGGGGCAACTCACTTTACCTATCTGGGAAGTCCCTTGGTGTTGCTAAAGTGATGCCATGGCAGGGACAGTCCAGAAAGGTAGCAGGAGGCACTACCTTTCCTGAGGTTTGAAGAAAGCAGTGTGGGTAGTGGAAAGAGGACAAAGGTGAGTTCCAGCTCCACTATGTGCCCTCTGCCTCCTAAGCTTGGACCCCCAGTTTCCTCACCTTTCCATTGGTGGTAATAAAGCTGAAGTCAGCTAACAGATGTGAATGTTTCTCTGAACGTATGCTAAAGAGAGTGTGACAAATACCAACAGAGAGCCATGACATGGGACAGTCATTCTGCAAAGAAATAGCATTGTCACTTAGTTTCATTTATGGCTTTTCAAAATGATAGAGGAAAAGTCAGCAGATGAGAGAGACCTCACAGGCCAGTGGTGGCAAGCCAGAGGGGAAGGAATGTTTGAAGACCACAGTGGCCACCTTCCTTTGATGTTCACTATGGCCAGCCAGGGGCAACACGGTGTCCCCACTATCAACTGGGACATAGCTCTGGTGATTCTGAGAAGGGGCTGTGTGGGGACAGCAGAGTTGTAAAACACTAACATTGGACAGGGCCTAGAGGGCTTGCCCATTCTGGGGACATTGAGTTAGGTGCCAAGGCTTTCTCTGCCTCCAGAAAGCTCCATAGGTTCATCCTGTGGAGGCCACAGCAACAGCCCAAGCTCCAGGAGTGGCTTCAAGGGGGCAGGGTGGGTCCCAGGCACAGACCCTTGCAACTCTGCTCTAGCACCTCCCCTTGTGGGCCCCTTGTAGACAGGTAAGATCAGCCAAGCAAGGAGCGAGGTGCTGGGGTTGGCTCTCTGTGTCCAAAAAGTCCTCCCATGCCCATCACTAGGTCTTATTATTGGGGTAGGGCTTATATTTAACAAATGCATAGAAATCCTGCTAGGGCTTATTTTTGGGTAGGCCTTATTTTGGGGGAAACACGGTAGTTACTGCTTGCTATCTGACCATCGATGCTGCTATCTGATCACTATGCAGGCCAGGTGGGAGCTGACAGACAAGCTGGGCCCCAGGTGACAGAGCCTCTAGCTCTTCTCTTGGCTGCTCTGTCAGTCTCAGTCGCAGAGCAGGCCATGTGCCCTCCACGCCCTTGGGTGAGAGCCCCTGTCAAATGGGCTTAGGCCACAGGAGGGGCATAGATTCCGGCCAGGGTCCTATAGGTGTGGGGTAAACACCTTTCCCATCACTGGTAGCTCTGGTCCACTGTCTCTGTCTAATCATCGATTTGGTACCATAACATTGGTGCCTTGCAGGTGCCAGGTTTATTCCTTATTATTCTAATGTTGTGAGCATACTGAGCTGAAAGTTCTGGACAAGAGTTGGGTGTCCTGGGTGTCCCAAGTCCTAGATCTGCCCCTAATCCTTGGATATATCCCTTACATCTTCCTGAGTCTCAGTTTCTGCCAGTGTTGGCTCCCTAAAGGAGCTGGAGGATGTGGGAATGCCTGTACAATTGCTTTGTGCCTGAAGTCCTTGGTGAGGTGGAACTGTGCAAATGGAGAAAATGGACACATTGGTGCTCCGGGGAGGAGGAGTTATTCATAATCAATTGAGCAGTCTTCCCCGACAGCTCATTATCAAGCTTTTTGGTGTGATATGAACACACAGTGTGTGCCTGGCACCAGCCCAGCCCAGCAGCTGACTGCAGGTTGGGGACTAGGCCCTCAGACTGGCCAGTCTCTCCCAGTCCCCGTGCCATATGAATTCCTGCACTGAGGCTAGAAGTGGGAGGGGGTATAGGATAGGGCCTCAAAAGCCTCACCTTGCCTGTGAATCACATAACCTCCCTTAGTGTAGGTCCCAGGGTGTAAGAGAGTGTAGAGAAGCCACCCTTATCACTTCTAAGCGCAAGAGAAATGTTGAACTGACCAATAGCCTCTGATCTTTGAGCCCCAATGGGTGTCCTCTGTGGGAAAGGAACTTACTCAGCCCCCGTTCTAATTCTTCCTATTTATTTTCCCAAAGGGCGCTGGGAAGGGGTGAAGTGTGTGGCTGGGCAGATTCAGTCCCATGGAAAGCAGGACCTGGAGCCGGGCTCAGCCCTCAGCGTCAGACAGCAAGGAATATGGACTGTCACCAGCTGCGTGTGGTAAATGACCCGGACCCAGCCCGCCCGTGACGGGGAGCCTCTCCTCCCCTTCTCTCATCTTAACGTTTCTCACCCTACTCTGGCTGGTGTGTGGTTTTTAAAGAACGGGGCTTTCTTTTTAGTTCTCTAAGGTCTGATAGGAACAGACCTGAGGCTTATCTTTGCACATGTTAAAGAAAATAAAAATGACAAAAAAAATTCTGCTCCAACAGAACAGGCTGGGCTGATGTGAGCTCTTGGCCTGGCGGTAAAGACGTCAGCACGGGCAAGACTTCGTTCCCAAACTGCTTCTTATGGTGACATTCCAGGATGCTTGTGAGGTGGGAGTTAGGAAGTAGGACGCACCCCTGCCGTCTCCTTTTCTCCATCTACTCCCGTTCGAACCCGATATACTTTTCACATTCTGATAAAAGCCATAGGTTTAGCTAGGATGAAGTGGTAGGGAGGTCCACGGCAGTTGTTAGAGTAGGATTTTGAGTTTTGAAGAACTGGCAGCTCAGGGTGGCCTGGTAAAGCCGTTTGAAGAGCAGCTGTGTGTTCTTCTCAGTCTCATTTTCTCTATAACCCTGTTCTGCACGAGAGGCAGTCTGATCTCAAACTCTTTTTCTACCATTCTGCAGTTTCCACCGCTAATGCAGTTCCTTTTTATTTTTTCATAGTGGACGTTGTAAATAGGTTATGTATGGGGGCAAGTCTTCTCCAGCTCAAATGGCTTCCTAAAGAAAGAAGCGGTGTCTTTGGAAGGGGCCATTTAATCCTTCCCAGCCCGGCTCACCTGCAGTCTCCATAAAAGCGACTCCAGGTAGAGCAGTTGGACTTGAGGTCACCTTAGTATAAAGTAGACAAAGGGTCAGTGAGAGAGTAGCATTCTATTCCCGAAATTCCACTTTCATGGCTAGCAGATGGGGAGGATGAAAACAATCCCTTCGTTTCCTCTCCGGTAAGGACACGTCTCCCTGCACCCTTTGCCCTCTCGGGCCTATGTGAGCAAACAGAAACGCCGACTTCTTCACCCCAGCACTTCCACCCTGGCCTGCATGCCGAGATAGCATCAATCCATGCTGTTACCAAGGATCTGGATTAGGCGTTCAAAGCGGGGCAGGCAATCCCTGCTCCCTTGGGTTAAGCATCTTGTGGCTGAGCTCTCCTTGATGTGCACTGGTCCTGCCGCGTGTCCTAGAGAGAGCTAGCAGAAAGGTGCATAGAGTTGGCAATACCAGCTGATTCAACAACTCTGTCTTAAGGAGAAGCAGATGGAAGAGATGCAGCAGGGGAACAGAGCAGAACAAAGATTTTTCCTTTTCTCCCTTCTCTTTGGGGTCTACCTAACCCTGACCTAAGATGCCGGGTCCGTGATGATCTCCTGGCTGTGCTTGTGTGGGCAGGCTTGCCAAGACGGCCACTGGGAAGCCTGCCTGCGCTCTTGAATCTGCTGGCCTCAAGCTCAACTAAAGAGTCACACCCTACGCCCTCCACAGAGTCTGAAATGCCCCTCCCACGGATAACGCTTGCTTTAAGTGAGAATACTTCAGCAGAATGGATACAAATTTTCAAAACAGTCTTTTCATATCTATGTATTCTATATTAAAAGTGATAAAGTCATGTTTCTGGGGCGTATTCAAGTAGCTGACAAGTAATTAATAATAGTACATGAGTGCATTGTAATTCTTCTCGCTGTAGTCAGGTGATAATAGTATCCAACGAAAATTTCCTACCAACCTGCTGTATCCAAAGTTTTGTAAAAAGTTGTAGAAGTTGTTGATCTTTTTGATTTTATATTCAAAAAGTCTCTTTTTATAAATATTATTTATTATACAATGTATATACCTTTGAGTTAACTAAGATTATATATTATATAAATATATATATATTTGGAGAAAATATATTTCATCATGCAGTTTTTTTCTGTTAAGTCATTAAAGAGAAGGTAAACAAAATGGATACATTGTACAATGTGTGGAGTTTCCAGATTAATGCTTAGGAGGTCAAGAATATCGGATTCTGAATTTGGTGGCCTCAGCTAATTAAATGACCAAATTACGATCATTTCTTTTGTTTCCTAAAGAAGGTCATCTGAGATGTGATGTTATGGACGGTAGGTCTGATCTACTATGGGATTTTCAAAGTCAACTTCTAATAAGGAATTTCCAGTTTTAGGTAAAAACAACTTGGGCAGTAATTCATTTCACAGACTCAAGCATGTTCAATGTACAAATTAATGTCATGGGTACTTCTAAAAGATAGGGTCTCAGGCCAGCTGACCCTGGGGGTGGCCACTGCCTTAATACTCCCCCTACCACGTTTTCAACTCTATTGGGGAAATAGGATTTTCTCTATTGAAAATGAAACTTGACTGAAAACGATCCATCCCCTGCTAACTCCACTGTGAGAGCTAAGCTATAAGCAAGGTAGGTTGGTCAGCAGAAGATACAGCATGCCCTCAGCTGTGGGTGGTCTGGAGCAAGTGGGTCATTTGAAGTTGTAGATTGGTTTGGGCAGGAAGGCTCTGTAAGCGGGCATCCTCTGGGGACTGCCACTTCAAAAAGAATCACCTGCAGCGCCTGAAGTTCTGCCTTCTTAACAAGGAGATGCTGTAACTCAGCTACATGACCACAGACAACCCTTTAGTTTTCAGACCTACATAAAACGTTACCTTGTCTGGCATATTGTTTCAGAGAGCAGCTAAAATGATTTTTTCTTTCTTTTTCTCCTGATCTACCTCTATTAGAAACAAATCTTATCCACCCCACTACATAGGAAAACAGTAACAACAGGAAAATAAAGCAGCCTGCATGGTGTGGTGGAGATGGGCTGCCTCACCCTGAACCTCCATTCAGACCTTTAACCTGGCCAGTGGAGGTTCATGGATTTTACTTTGCCGTGATATGTCTCTATTTAGCCCCTGAAAAAAGTAAGCCATTAAAAACTGTTGTTTTTGCTAGTCAAGAAATTGGACATGTCATACAGATCTCTTCCTCCTCCTACCGTGCTGGTTATGTTTTATTTTACTTTTACATAAAGCTAATATAGGTTGAGTATCTCTTATCTGAAATGCCTGGGAGCATTAGAGAAGTGATCTGGATTTCAGTTTATTTTTGGATTTTAAAATATTTGCATGTACATAATGCAGTATCTTGTGGATGGGATGCAAGTCTGAACATAAAATTCATTTATTTTTTGTGTGTATCTTACACACATAGCCTGAAGGTAATTTTATACAATACTTGATGATTTTGTGCACCAAAGGTTTGACTGCATTTTGACTTCAACCCATTATAGGAAGTTTCCACTTTCTAGCATCATGTTGGTGCTCAAAAGTTTTGGAGTCTAGCACTTTGGATTTTAGATTTTTCAGGTTGGATGCTCAACCTGTACTCATCTGTCCCAGAATCCTGGGTCCTTTTTTTTTTTTTTTTTAAACCTATAAGATGGCCAAATAGCTAAGATGGTCCCTACACCTACTTATGAAGACCATTTGTAATCCTATCAATAATCATTCTATGATTAAAGAGAATGCAGCTTATGGCTGTGCTTGAACATTTAGTCTCTCCAGAAGCATGACTAGTCTGCATTTACGAGTGAATTCAATTCAACAAAAAACATGGCTGCTACCCTATCACTGTTTCTCTTACCTTAACAGTGAACTTTCTAGGAGGCAAAAATTATCTTACCATTAATCTTATACACCCCAAATAGTGAGACAATCAGTTGTGTGGAGACGATATGCTGGGAAAATTTTAAACGGGAGCCTTCCATGCAAATTTTGTCTTCACCTACTTCAGTTTCTTGCCGATCGCAGGGCTATCTCCCACATCATAATGCCGTGCAGGGTGTCTGTGCCACACACGCCCTCTGTGGACGCATTTCCAGGGCTGTCTCCGTACAGCTTGCCAGCTGATGAGAAACTCTAAATCATTCTGCAATAACTTCTGAAATTTACATGCTTTTTTGAACTCACATACACACCTTTCCCAGCCACTTCTTTGAAGAGGCTATGGCCCAAGTTGCCAGGCAATGAAAATGAAACCCTGCTTTCACCATCTTGTTTGGGCTGGGGTGGCTTGTGTATAGCTGAATCACTGCTTCAACTTGTCTGTTTATCAGGATTTGACTAGGATACACAGTTGGACCTACGCCACGACTTTGTGACTTGCTGAAACTTTATTAAAGGGGAGGCTGTTCACTGTAATTTTAGGATATGAAAAGACAAACTGAAAGCAAAACATATTTCAGACTTTGACCACAATTATTACCATTGCTCTCAGTGTTTCAGTGAAAATATACAAATTCAGTAAGGATAAAATAACCTCCTCTGTTGAGCTTTCAATTACAAAAAAATAGCCAGCTAACATTTCCTTCATAGAGGAAGACGTGTAAGGCGGCAGCTTGTTGTTGTTTCACCAGGCCATGCTGCAGTCTCATTTGCTTAGCTGCCCAGCAATGGCTTTGATGGATACCGAGGTAGCTTCAAGAACGCACCTTCTCAAGGCTATGTGGGGACCAGGTTAGTCTCCTCTTCCCCACAGAGCCTTGCCTGATTTCTGGGCTGCCTCTCTCCCTAACCTGAGCCACCGGTAAGAATTGGGGTTTAGGCTAAGAGATCTGAAAGCTCAGAAAAACGCAAACAACGTGAAGGATACCAAAATGAACCATGTGAAGAAATCTCACCGAGAAGATTTAAGTTCCTTGGTTTGTACGTTTCCCAGAAGGGAGTAATTCCAACTGAGAAACAACTTTTCAGTTTATTATTAGCCTTGCTTGTAGCCTTGTAGCCTCAGTTTTTAAATAAGGTAAAATAAGGAAGCTGTGCATTAGCTTTTTGATATGCTAATGATGCTTTTCTTTTTCAACAATTATACTTTCTAAATAATTAAGACGTTTTTGAATAACATAATCCATCTCCGTATGCAAGTTGTAACAAAACAGGAGGGATTTCTTTGCTGAGGCCCCCATCAGTTATATATGTTGTTTTGTATAAAATACTGGGCTACAGAATGTTTTCAAGTAGATTTACTCTTTATTGCATTCCTTCATTTGAATTAAACAATATAATATTTATTTATACTTTTCAATATAGTTTTGGACAAAACACAAAGACATTAACCACATTTAACAAGAGACAAAAGTTAATACACTGTGTGCTGTTTTCATGAAAGGAGGAATCAGGATACTGGCCACCAGGAATCACAGAATTTCACAATACAATCCACTTCTTAAAAAGCCACAAAATAAGCTAGGGATGAAAACCCAGCACAAAGTAGCTATGATACACAAGTCTCTAGCAAAAGCACACAGACAGCAAGATTTGGAGACGATTTGCCTTTTACCCTGGAGACAAATGACAGAGCCACACCCAAGGGCCACTATGCTGACAAGCCTGGTAGGTGGCGAGTAGTGTGAGCACCTGGGGATGGCTTCTGAATGCTTGTCCTTCAACTTTAAGCAGCAATGGAGAAAGAGAGGCATGCTCCTTAAGTCTCATCACCAAATATGATGACCTAGTTAAATTCCTTCTAAGTCAGTCGGAAGTCACCCTCAAAAGGACTCAGAGTTCTCCTTCCCTTTGGAAGGGACAGGGAAGGTGTTCACGAATTGGAATGGACAGTAAGGGCTAAGGGAAGAGGGCTAGAAGATGGCTTATTTTTTTGGAGAATAGTGTTTTATTTAGATACTAAATAGTATAGATAATTTAAAATAAAGGAAGGATAAAGTCTAAGGAAGTCATTAAGCTAAAGAAAAAAGAAAAGCAGTGATGCTAATAAGCTGATATTATACTAAAGAATTGACCCACTTAGAGTTGGACACTAATTAGTGCCGAGAGGTTTGTAAATTACTTTATTTTGATAACTCTTTTCTGTTTAGGGGTGTACATTTTTCCATACCTTTCACACGTTTTTAACAACATCTACCAAGCAGTAATTAGCATATCTCTTACCACAGAGCAAATTAGTTACATGAAGGGGAAGTCTCAGCCAACACAGTAATAATCTGACTTTCTATTAAGAAAGACCTCCTAATTGCAACTTGGAAACATCTCGGAAAATGATTGAGAAAAGCATTTTAGAAATTCAGAGCCCTATTTTTTCGGGCAAAGATAAAACCCAATTTTGTGGGGAAACCTTTACCAAATACCCAATTACCTTTAGTGTTAGCTCAGGAAAGCTGTAAGGATCACTGCACCCACACCTCGATTCACTGCTCCTGGCTTGTGTGCGGAAAGCCTACCTTCTAATAGGCCAAGTGTTATCCTGCAATGTTCATTATATTTATTGAGAGTTTGTGGATGGTGATGGTGGCAAAGAGCTGAAAATGTGTAGTGTTCACAAGTACAGGATGTTTCCCACACAGAGAATGAATAAGAAGGAATCATCTGAGCTTGCATGGAAAGGTAAGCACAGCATTCTAAAGCAAGCTAATACCTTCCACAAAATACTAGAAGATCTCTGAGCACAAGGAAGGGAGTTTGATTGCACTAATCATGCAGAGCAAGTACGTGTTGAAGGTAGAAGATGTTCCGCTTAGTCCAGTATCTTGAGTAAGATGAGTGAAGATCCCAGGCCATCTTCACCTTGCTCACTTCCCTGGGTCACTATGTGTTGCAAGTAGTCCGTTTTCAATCAAAGTCAAGGGGGCTACTGTAAAAGAAATACCCAAAACACAAAAAAACCCCAAATAAGGGCCTGCAAAAAGCCATTCATCACAAAATCACTAAAAGCTTCTTACTGTTTTTTCTACATTTTCCACTATGCATCTGCTATTAGATAAGCATTTCACAAAAGAAAATGACCATAGCCCCATGCAAGCAGTTCCAATATATCTGTACCCTCAAGGTTTTCCCGCATTGAGACAAGGAAGGTTTGTGAAGCAGGACAGGGAAAGCAAACCAACAGTACAATCACCTTCCTTGCTTGGTCTCTCAGACCTACAACACAGCAAAGAACTCTAGTAAGTGGAAGCAAAATATCTAAGAAAGAAACTATCAAATTTATATGCATCATAGAGCAACTCTAAGAATAGGCATTGGGATTCAACAGAGTGGTTTGGTCGAGGGTCTTAAGCATTGTGTGTACTTACGCTCCTTCTTCTCTTAAGAGAGCCAAAAATTTTCTCACACGGTATTCAGGATCCATCTAAATGCATCAGAAGACATGAAAAAGGTGGGTTAATGGTACCTTCTAATATGCTCTTAATTCATGCTACGGAAGGGCTTGGTTTTACACTCATTATCAGTGCTCTGCTGAGTCACAGGTGGTACCTGCTCCTTGACCCGTATCTGACACATAACAAAGCAGATTATTACTCAGGAGAAGTGAATGGGACTGCTGCGCATGGAGAGTCACTGTGCCCTGGGTTCCAGAGGACCCGAGCCAGCTGGTCAGCACAGGCACCTTGGCTAAGTGTGCCCTGAATGCCATGCTGGTGTGCAGATGCACGATGTGCCTGGGAGACTGGGTGGGGGCCATTCACAGGGGTGCAAGTGATATCCAACTCATCTAAGGTGTTAAGTTCATAAAAATCAGTCCAAACTTGAAGAAACCAAATTGAGGTTATTAAACACTAAAAAAAGCTCATTAACTCTACATAAACAACAATTTAGCTTTTTTTAGCTTCAGCATCCCTTGCATAATTTCTTCTTTGCAATTAATAAAACAAGTTGTGCTAAGACTAAAAAATGAAAGAGCATTGCTGATTCCTGTGGTACAATCTCTGGATAACCTGGGTTTCCTATGAGTGAGAACATGTCACAATTCTAAGAGAAGATGGTGCAGCTTTGTTTCAGGTGCTTGACTCAAGTGGCTATTATTAGTGATCCCGGTTTTCATTTTCTACTCATATATATATATACACACACACTAATTTGTTAAAATATATTTTATTCTTCTTGGTCCACTAAAGAGGTGAAGTTATCTAGAAAACAATCATTAAAAACATCTTTAATTCATAAAGATGAATTTTCATTATAAGAAACACGCCTAACTTTTAAAATATGTTTTAGAGCAAGTCTGTTTCCTGGAGGGAACTCCCTGCCCTCTGGGAAGAGCGTTCCCATGCTCCCACAGCTGCAGGTAAATATGCAATCAGATTTCCCCCTCCAAGAAGATTTCTTCTATCTCAGAAAAACAGTGAACAGAAGTTTCAAATGTATCAAAGTTAAGAGGTCAGACTACAAAGGACTAAGAAAAAGTGTGAATTGCTAACAAAAGAAACATTTTTCCTCTTTGGGAATAGAATTACATATGAATCAATTGTCAAGTTCTTTAAAAAAAAAAAAAAAGGAACTGGCTAGAGCTCGGTTGCAGTCAGTACTTGCAGTTCTTTGCCCATTAAATATATTTAATATGTGTGAGCAAGGACTTACTGACTTGCCTGTAGCTATGGAATTAAAAGTCAAGAGAAAGGGAGGAAAAAAGTAATCTAGATAAATGACTTTATTCCCTCAGGTGACATCCAGTCAGAGCAGATCCCCAGCACTGTGCAAGTTTTAACAGAATCGTGTGTAGTGAACAGAGAGGGAACATGACTTACATTCTGCTCAACTACATGCCTCTTCGTTGGGGCTCAGTCTCTCTAAGGCAGATCTAAAGAGAATTCACTCAGCTGCACGGAATCCATTTGACATGAAGGGGTTCAAACTCAGAGGCCTATGAAGCGTCAGTCGCTGAAGATTAGGCCTGGGTGCCCCACTCTCACTTTCTACCCCACATACACAAAAGTATTAACTTGATCACTGACCTGCAGGCATCAAAGGAGGAAGGAAGGGGGGCTGGGGAGAAAAGCCCACATAGTTTCTTCTGTGCAATTATTAAAAAAAAAATGTGCTGAAACTAAAAAAACCTCCCCCAAACCCAAGAGTAGAGCTATCTGACAGATTTATCTTTGTTCAAGGAAAAAGCCAATGCACCTGTACCAAAAATAAGCCTAAACAAAGTGATTAATCTGTAACTTTAATCTATTGCTCAAAATGGAAAATAAGTTGAGGTTTCTGAAAACCACACACATTTTATTTATTTATTTATTTTTATTTATTTATTTTTGCAGTTTTTGGCCGGGGCTGGGTTTGAACCCGCCACCTCCGGCATATGGGGCTGGCGCCCTACTCCTTTGAGCCATAGGCTCCGTCTCCACACAAATTTTATTTTAAAACATTTTTACCTAAAAAGATTAAAAAGCATTTACACGTTTCTAATTTGTTAGTGATCCAGGAATCTATTTTAGATGTAACTATGAAACTTAAGCTTCACCTCTGCCATGCACCGTTCACAACATGAGTGGCAGGACACTGAGTAATATGCGGTGCTTCCCCAGAGCCAGTCTGTCCACTAGTGTCAGGATGGACTATTCATTCATCCTGTGAAAGTCTTCTGAGCACCCCCCTTCTCCCCATGTCAGCTCTAGTTCCAGGTCCTGTGGACTCAATAGTGAGTGAGAGCCTAGGTCTCTGAACTCACAGGACTTGACAGGGAGACATTTACTGTCTAACTATTAGAGTATGTCAGATAAGGACAAGACAGTATTAGAACATGGAGGGGTGGGGTTCCTAAAAGAGAAAAGGTAGGTTGCCAGCAGATGTGAGAAAGTCCCAAAGAAGTTTCATCTGTCTTTGCCCAGGCAGCAGCCTGGGGCTCAGTTTTCTACGTGATCCTGGATCAATCCTATAGTAGTTTGCATGAAATTTCTAAGCGCCCAGCCAGTGGAAAATATAGAGCCCAAGTCTAGTCTATGTAACTCCATCAGCTTGTCTCTAAGACCCCTTTTGGTATATGTGCAGCAGCTTACTGACCCCTGCTGTATACCATCCCTTGTCCATCACTGACTGGCTATGTAATCTCGGATAACTCACTAACCACCTGTGGGACACACAGCACACTCATCCCTAAGACAAGGGCACAGCAGAACAATTGCTTTTTGAAGTCCTTTCTGGTACTATCTAGTGACTCCTTAAAACTAAAAGTAACTTTATAATCTTTTCTTCCATTTTTGACTTTTAAGAAGTGGAAAAGCATCAATAAGCTGTTATGTGATTTCAGAAGCAGGCTACTAATACCAACTTGAGTTCAGAAATAATATTAAGAAAGCCTGGCAAGGCAGCTCACACCTCTAATCCTAGCACTCTGGGAGGCTGAGGCACGAGAATCGCTTGAGGACATGCATTTGAGACCAGCCTGAGCAACCAAGACCCTGTCTCTATAAAAAATTAAAAAAAATTTTTTTAAAGGGAAATAATATGAAAACTTATGACCTAAATTAAGACCTTAGCAAAGGAAATATGAAAACCTCTTGGTGTATCATGAAGCTTCTTTCTATGTCTGAATCATGAAGAAGGAAGCACCGTACCTGTAGGGACATCTCGATCAACATTAGTAACTTCTTGATTCCTATCCAGACCTTTTTCCCTTTGACTTGCTGTGCAATTGTGGTGCGTTCCTTATCCTTGAAGTTGCCCAACAGCTACAAAAGCAACAGATCTCAAGTCATCTGTGTACACTCATATTAATAAAAGCACTTTTACAGTAAATACATTAACATAAGTTAATTCTCACATTTACCCTTAAAAGAACAGTGAGAAGAACTTTCTGACAGTTGGAGCTGACAGGATTGATTCTCTCCCTCCCATTTTAAAATCCAGTCTGATCTTTTTAAACCCATTAAGTGTAATCATGAAAGTGAACACTGGTATCTTCAACCCTGTTTTCCTATGGACTTCCATTATAACTTAGAGATAAATTTGCTGGGGGAAAAAATAGCTCCAATCCATAATAAACATAAGTCAAAAATTTTAACATTCCTTCCTAGGAACAATCTATATATGTCAAAGCAAACTAAATTTAGTTCTCTAACCCAACCCTGGCACAAAAGCTGCCTAAACAGGTAACCTGGAAATATTTATCATACAGATCATTTCTATTCTGTTGGGTACAAACACCAACTTTATGGGTTTTGAGGACTTTCACAACCCTTACTGACTCGACCACTGCTGAACAAGTCACTAGGTGATATTTTCCAACAGATCTCAAGTTATTTGTGTACACCAATATTAATAAAAAGTTCAACAAAGAACATACTTTTTTAAAAATGAAAGACTTTGTTACTCTTGGAAAATTAAAATATTTCCATATTACAAACTTGTTAATAACATTCCTTCAACTTCTATAGCTTTTCTGAAGTTTCTAAGGATTTTTCATTGTTCTAACTTATTAAATGCAAGGAAATGAGCTGAAAGCCTCTATGAATGAGTGAATTGTCTATATTTCTGTACCCCCACCCATCCAAGTTTCTGATGCATGTAATCTATATGTTTTACTCATGCTGAGTACAGAGTAATTCATTCCTGGCAGCTTTTCTGGTACCTACACCTAAGAATGGGAAATTAATTCACCATTCCTTATATTCATCTTCCTCCTTCAATTCCTGAAAACAGTTATAGGTACAGGTTGGGTATTCCTAATCTGAAAATCCAAAATCTGAAATGCTGCAAAATCAGAAACTTTTAAAGTGCTGACATATTTTAGATTTTTGAATGACGAATATAATGAAATATTACAGTATACTTATACGTATAATACAACATTCCACAATTCTCAAAAAACTTTGAAATTGGAAACCCTTCTAATCCCAGGCATTTCAGATTAAGGTATACTCAACCTGTAATATCCCAGGGTCTCAAGTTCTAGGTTAACAGAGAACCCAAACACCAGATACAACAGCTGTGGTACCCCCCTAGTATGATTTCAGCCTCAACTCCTTTCTTATGAACAGTGTGCAATCCATGGACTCATCTTCACCTCCAAAGCTTCCAACAGCTGCTCTCCTGTGGCAATGTTGGGCACGTGGATGGTGGTGCTGAAAGCGTTAAGCATTTCCATCTCCTGAAGAACATCTTTTCGGCTGGTTGTCCCAATGATAAGAAGCTTGCGGCCCTGATCACAAGGAGAAAACGTGTTAAAAAATAGAGAAGAGGACAAGTTAGGAAACTAGAGTAAGGGGGTAGCGCCTGTGGCTCAAAGGAGTAGGGTGCCGGCCCCACATGCTAGAGGTGGTCGGTTCAAACCCAGCCCCGGCCAAAAACTGCAAAAAAAAGGAAACTAGAGTAAGTCTGAAGAAAATGTGTAAAATCTGTTTATTTAACCACAGAAATGTAAATGATTAAGCAAAAGAGACAAAAAATCAAGACTTTCCTCATGAAATTAAAAAAAAACCTCCTAGAATATGATTTAGAAATTGTCGACCTCTGAACAACCTCTCACTCACATCAGTGGTGATGTGGGCTAGTGAATCAGGGGGAAGACAGACCAAAGAGAAAGATACTGCAATGAGCATTTGTAATTCCTTTCTCAGGGTCAACGTGACACATTTATAGTGGGGACTGGGGAAAAAATGAAGTGAGTGGGAAGTCTGCATTGGCTTAGCAAGGCTTTATTGTACCTTCTAAAAAGAAGAAACAGGGTAATAATTAGTTTACATTTAATCAACACTTCACTGTGACAGGCATTGGCGGGGGGCATTACATCATTTTCTTTAATATTTAAAAATTTCATTTTTATTTTTAACCCCCTCAATCTAAAAGACGCTTAAAAACTATACCAGGCTTATTGCTACCATTCCCAATTCCCTCTCCCCAGAAGCAGCCATTTTCAACTCTTAGCTTTTCTAGCCATATTACTTGTTTATCCTTAAATAACAAGGTTACACTACTATTTTCAGAATTTGGTTTTCAGCTTTGAATATTATTTTTTTCTTCCTACTATGAAGATTTACTGTTAATTTTGGACTACCCCCCATATGCTTCCTTTCCTGTCATCCCAACATAGTTATTTCATCATCTTTAGTGAAATCTGTATTTCCTATTTATTATGATTATGTAAATATGATTTACAGCTAAGCCATACAGAATATGATTACATTTCCTTTTGGGGGCAACATTTAGTTTTTACTGGGGTTAGAATCACCTTTTCCCCTGGCTTAGTTTACCAGGTACTTACCACAAATTCATTCCCAATCAAACACAATTGTGAGTCTCCTTTCAATACGTTCAAACACCTTTGAAGCTCTATTCTTTTCTTGAAGATATTCCCCTCCTGGCGTCTTCTGTCCTTCTAGTTCAAGCTGAACTGAGTGCTTTCTAGGCCTGCTGTCCCACTGTAGCTCTAGAAATCCCTTTTCTTCTTTGTCATATATCTTGTATCTTTGCTTTCCTTTCTCTCTCTCTCTTTTTAAGACAGTTATCCCCAGTAGAGTGCTGTAGCATCGCAGTTCACAGCAACTTCGGCCTCTTGGACTCAAGTGATTCTCTTGCCTCAGCCTCCCGAATAGCTGGGACTATAGGTGCCCGCCACAATGCTCAGCTATTTTTAGAGACAGGTTCTCAGCGCTAGTTCAGGCTGCTCTCCAACCCGTGGGCTTAGGCTGTTAGACCACCTTAGCATCCCAGAGTGCTAGGATTACAGGCCCGAGCTACCGTGTCTGGTCCTCCTTTTTCTTTCTCCTTTCTTTCTTTCTTTTTTTTTTTTTGAGAAGAGCCTCAAGCTGTCCCCCTGGGTAGAGTGCCGTGGCATCAGAGCTCACAGCAACCTCCAACTCCTGGCTCAAGTGAGTCTCCTGTCTCCACCTCCCAAGTAGTTGGGACCACAGGCGCCTGCCACAACACCCGGCTAATTTTTGGTTGCAGCCATCATTGTTGTTTGGTGGGTCTGGGCTGGATTCGAACCTGCCACCTTAGGTATCTGTGGCTGGTGCCTTAGCTATTTGAGCCACAGGTGCGGAGCCCCTTTTTCTTAATTTATATCTTTTTGCATATACCCAGAAGCTTCTTGAGAAGAGGTGCAAGGGGGGGGGAACTAAAATTTTAAAGACCTTGCATGTCTGGAAATACCTTTATTCTGCCCTTAATATTGTACCTTCTATCTCACACTTCATAGTTTGGCTAGGTATAGACTCTATTGTCTTTTATTCAGTGCTACTGGCTAGAAGATCAACGTATGCTCCTTGACCCTTTGTTTCTAAACTGTTTTTTTGCTTTTTTTTTAGTTTTGATTTTTTAAGACAGAGTGTTGCTGTTGCCCAGGCTGGAAGTACAGCAGCTATTCATGGGTGCAATCATAGGTCACTGCAGCCTGCAATCCTGATCTCAAGGGATCCTCCTGCCTCAGCCTCCTGAGTATATGGAACTATAGGAATGCTCTGCCATGTCTGGATGCAGCATGTTTATTTTCTCCCTCTTTTTCAAATATAAAATTTTAAGACTCTTTATTTCCATGTTCTGTAATTTGAAATTTATATACCTAAACATAAGTCTTTCTTTACTCACTTTGCTGGCACTACATGAGTTCTTCTTTTCTAAACTGGAAATTCTAATCATTTGGTTCTAGGAAGTATCTTGAATTACTTCCTTGAGATTTCTTCCCATTCATTTTTTTTGTGTTCCCCACACAGCAGGAACCTCCTTTACTTGGATACTGATCCTCTAGGACTAATCTTCTAATTGTCTTTTTTTTTCCTCCTAGTTTTTATATTTTTCTCTAATACTTTTTGGGTTAGAATCAACTTTATCATCCAGCCTTTATATTAAATTATTTTATATTTCTCAGAGCCCTTGTTTTCTGAATATGTTCTTTTTTAAAATACATCTAATTATATTTTATGAGTATAATATCTTAATTTAGCTTACATCCTCATTTTACTGATGAAGTTTCTGAATATCACAGATATAAGTAATTTATCTGTTTAAGGCCCAATAACTAATCAATGATGGAGCCATGATGGAAACCAGATCCAGACCCAAATCATACACTGTCTCTCTTCATAAAGAAAAATATATTAATAAAAAAGTTAACTTGGAAAATGGAAGAGAAATACGGTTTAAACTTATGTCACTAGATTTATGATACACACTCAAAAGCTTCATCAGTAAAATGAGGAAATACTAGTACATAATTCTCATGCTTACAATGAACTTCTTCAGACTTTAAATGAGATTTTGAAGAAGTACCACACTGTACTGCACAGATAAGTTTGTAACATAACCATTAAACTATTCATGGATCTTGGAAACTCAGGACATTAAGTGATGTCCTGCAGTGGAGGATGGACAGGTGGCTTGATGCAGTAGAAAAAGTACAGACTCCATCATTCATAGGTATGTGATTTGGGGTAGATTATTGGGGTACACATTAAAATAAATGTGCTAGCAGGAAAAGATTTTAAGAAATTAAAGATCAGGTGCTGGCTTGGCACTCATGGCACAGTGTACGGTGCCAGCCACATACACCAAGGCTGGTGGGTTCGAACCCAGCCCAGGCCAGCTAAATAACAATGACAACTGCAACAAAAAATAGCCAGGCGTTGTGGCAGGCGCCTGTAGTCCCAGCTATTTGGGAGGCTGAGGCAAAAGAATCGCTTAAACTCAAGACTTTGAGGTTACTGTGAGCTGTGATGCCACAGCACTCTACTGAGGGCAATATAGTGAGACTCTTATTTATTTGAGACAGAGCCTCAAGCTGTCCCCCTGGGCAGAGTGCCATGGCATCACAGCTCACAGCAACCTCCAACTCCTGGGTTCAAGTGATTCTCCTGCCTCCGCCTCCCAAGTAGCTGGAATTACAGGCACCCGCCACAACGCCTGGCTATTTTTTGGTTGCAGCTGTCATTATTGTTTGGCGGGCCTGGGCTGGATTTGAACCTGCCAGCTCAGGTATATGTGGCTGGTGCCTTAGTCGTTTGAACCACGGGCACTGAGCCAAGATTCATATTTAAATAAATAAATAAAGATCAGGTGCCAAAACAATTTCAATTAGGTTTTGTAAACACTATGTTACTACCGTCAATAAGGCATGCTAGCCTTGCTCAATTTTACTTACTGATTTTGTCCATTTCTGTGCCAACAACGGACAATGTACCACCAAAGGCATATCAAAGAAACAAAGTTGAGATCCCTTGTATAATCAGCCATTAGCATAACAGATGACGGTGCAAAGACCATGAGACAGAAGTATCCTGCGGTGTATATCGATTAAAGGGTCACTATCATGATTATTTAAGGAATCAATTAGCTAAAAAACAAATGCTTATCAATACACATTTATCAAGTTCCTAGATGAATATGGAATAGACTTTGCACAAATAGGAAAGTAAAGAGAAAAGATAGTAATACAATATAAAAACGTGGAGATACATGTATTATGTACAAGGACATCAGTAGGGGGAAGAGATGTGCTAGGGAAAGCTTCTTTCTTTTTTTTTTTTTTTTTTTTTTTTGAGACAGAGCCTCAAGCTGTCCCCCTGGGTAGAGTGCCATGGCATCACAGCTCACAGCAACCTCCAACTCCTGGGCTCAAGCGAGTCTCCTGCCTCCGCCTCCCAAGTAGCTGGGACCACAGGCGCCCGCCACAACGCCCGGCTATTTTTTGGTTGCAGCCATCATTGTTGTTTGGCGGGTCCGGGCTGGGGATTCGAACCTGCCACCTTAGGTGTACATGGCTGGCGCCTTAGCCGGTTGAGCTATAGGCGCCGAGCCGGAAAGCTTCTTTCTTTGGAGGTAATACCTGACCTGAGTCTTAAGGAATGAATAGGTCAATTAGGAAGATGAAGGAGGAAGGGCATTCTAAGCCTTAGGAATAGAAATGTATAAGTCCGAGGGCAAAACAAAACAATTACAAACAGATACAGCCATATACATTTCTATTATAATATAGGCAAAGTATTGTTTAACACTAAATTCTAGTGGTAAACATGGGCACACATCCCTGAACGCTAATAGACGCCAAAGGCCGTCCACCCTGGCACAGCCTCAGTAAAATTAAAGGTAACTGTTACTTCCCCTTTTCCCTTGTTTTTTTAACCCTCTCCCTCAGTAGCCCATAATTAAGACTCCCTCATCTTGCTCCTCTCTCATGGAGGACAGTATTGTCCCTAGAAGAATGAC